AAGTGTGTCTAAAACACATACATACAAACTCAACCACTCGGTGTAATTCACTCCTTCCCAGTTTCTATTTCAGTATCATTTGATAATCAGGCAAAGTATCTACTATGGCTCAAGCCTAGGTTCTTGCACAGAATTTAGTAGAATATCTTACGGGTTTGGTTACTGAAAGAATCTTGTTCCCCCATGGAATATATGGTAATGCTCCATGACACAGAAGCCAAGCACAACACTTTAAGGAAGCATCAGTAAAATTGAAGCTCTTATTTCAATATGGGTAGGGAAGGCTTAACGTTCTATTTTAAAAAACTGAAACATTTCTTTTGTAGGCTTAAATCATCTCTACCATACAGACCTGTAAATAAGCCCTCAGTCTGTCAGCCAACTGCTGGAATTGCAGTTATCGTGGTTATAGTTGCTGTTCTGTTAGTATTCCATCAGAGATATCAATCAACTGTGTGCTTTCTGAAGTTAATTACTCAGGTTGTAGAATGTATGTTTCACTAAAAGAGAAAACCCTGAAGTTCTCCTCCCCCCCCTTGTTTTTTTTTCCCCTTTATGAAAAAACAAACTTTTCATTGGCATAACGAAGAAGTGGAGGGTTTACACTTACCATTGGAGAGCAAGTGCCCCCTACTGTGTTTTTACGAGGAGGAGCCTTTAGAGGGTTGGGGGAGTTAGGGAAGGGCTGTGCTGGAGGGGACGGTGGTGGAAAAGGCTGACGTAGGGTCCTTGAGTAGGTCGGTTGGAGAAGGGAAGTGGCCTCTCTCTACACTCACTCTCTTCTCCAGGGGGAGTCCTAGGAAATCATAGTCTAGGGTAGCAGCAGCTTCAGGCCACAACAGCCCTGTGAGGTAGATTAATCAATGAGCATTTATTCAGTGCTACTTTGTGCTACCCACTGTGCTGATCACTGAGGATGCAGAGACTCAAGTGAGCCAGCCCCTGCCCCCTAGGAACTCTCCTCCTAATGGGAGAGAATATGTGTGTATATAAGGTACAATCGAGTGCAAGGTATACTTGAATGGGAAGGCATTAGAGGCTGGGCAAAGAAAGGTCTTCAGACGCTTATGATTGGAAGGGATCTTGGAGACATCTAGTCCTCCCCCCTCACTTCATAGATAGGAAACTGAGGCCCAGAGGGTTTCAAAGATTGTGCAAGGTTACAGGCGGTGTCAGAGCCTTGATATGAAAGTAGGGACTCAGACTCCAAATGCATTTCTCTTTCTCCTATACTACACTGACTGACTCAAGTAGTACAATCCTCGTTTTTCAGATGAGAAAAACAGATGCTTATCGAGTATATGAATGACTTGCTTACAGTTACACAGCCTAGTATTTTGGAGCCGTAGACCCTGCTTTAGAGAATCCTGTGGCTGTTGAAAAGGGAGGGAATCTAGCCTGTCTTTCCTCTCCCCACCTCTCCAGTCTCTCTACTACAGATCATCCTAAGGGATATGAGGCTTGATCTTCCTTTAAAAGGCTGAACATTTTTACTGCTTTCCTTAGTAACTTATTCTAGTATTTGATTTTCCCATATAAAAAGTTGTATTTTAACTTGGTCTTCTGGAAACTCCAATCCAATCAGGATTGCTTCAGGTCAAGAGTTATTTACTTTATATGCTGGGCTTCCTCTCCCTTCTAAAAACAAGCAAACACTTGCGAGAGCAAGCCTGTGTGCAAGTGTGCACACACACCTTTCTTTCTTTTTTTTTTGTGAGCAGAATTGGCATTATTTTAGCAGTAAGGTCACAAATAACTCCCTAAGAATGAATGTCGTTTACAGTCTCCTCTCTCGATGGTGCTTTTGTTTTGCAAGGTTGCCTTTACTATTCATTGAACCATAATTTGTCTGTTTAATGATGTGGTGAGAGGAATCCAAGCAGTATGATTTACTCTGGGCTTAGGTAAGCCCAGAACCAAGGGAGATGATGTAGAGATTGGGGACAGTGAGGTGGTATAGGGAACAGAGCATAGGATCTTGAGTCATGAAGACCTGAGTTCAAATTCTGCCCCAGATACTTACTAGCTATGTGACCCAGGCAAGTCCCTTAACCTCTTTGCCTCAGTTTCCTCATTGGTAAAAATAGGGATAATAATAGCACCTACCTCCCAGGGTTGTTGTGATGATCAAATGAAATAATAATTGTAAAAGTACTTAGCACAGTGCCTGGTATATTATAAGTGCTATAGAAATGTTACCTATTATTATTAGGGCTGAATCTTTGGACATTCTAGTTTTGAAAGTTTAGTTTACTATACCCTTATCCTGGAACTGACTTGTACCACCTGAGGTCCTCATTAATAGGGACAGTTGAGAACAACTGTTCACCAAAGCACATACTCTGGGTCTGCCTTTATGTATCCAAGGGACTCCAGCAGAACTGGACCATTTCCTAACGGGGATGTACATGGAGCACAAGGTGACTAGCCAGTATCTTTGCTTCATTCTTTTTTTTTTTCTCCCAAACGTTTTTGGGTACCTATAGCAACTGAAAGGTTTATCCCCTTTCAAAACCATTACTTCCTGCTGTTGCTACTGCTTGAACTGGTACCAAATGTTGGTCTGTAAACCTCTTCTTAGAATAATGTTTTTTGCTTGCCTTCATAATTGAGGGAAATGCTAAATTTCATTTACAGGTTTTTTTTACTCCCATCAGATTTCACAGACTTCTTGAAATCTATCAAGTTAAGAACTCAAATTCTACAAAATTCTTGTATTACTATTAAATTATTTAATTTTGCTACCTGATTTCAATACAAATAAGTCTTAAATGTTTATTCTCTATATTTATACTGCAGTTTTTAGTATATGTAATTGACTGCATCAAAAAACCATTTTTCACCTGTTATCACTCAAGGATTTGGTGGAAAGATTGTCTAAATAAAACCATTCACTTTTATTCATTTTTCTAAGTGATCCTATCACTAACAAAATAATACGTCAGTTTCTAGAAGCTCATCTCTGTTTATAC